TTATCATTGGAACTCCATCCATCCAAGGATAATCCTTCTGATAAAAGCCATGCCAATGAATTGTCGTGTCATCACCCATCATCATGTTTACAACATCAACCACAATCAAATCCCTTTCACAGACGTAAATTGGTGGACCAGGAAGTTGTCGATTAATGGTCAAAATTCCCCGTTCAACTCCATCAGCAGTAACACATTGATCATTGAAACAATCACTGACATTACCAATGAAGCTTCCACATGTTTTACATGGTCTGTCAATTAATTTAATATAATTTTATGATTTTTATTAATTAATTTATCTTACGGTCCCATCGTTGCATAATTCTCCAATGTGAATTTAAAATAACAAATTCGTCTCAGATCTGGATGACCACATCTTCTATCGCAAAGTTCTCCAGGATTATTGCTAAAAGCTATAGAATCGTTGTATAGTGCTTGTGCACTAACAACACTCAAAATAGCTGACACTAGAATTATCTTAATCATCTTTTGCCAAAGAAGAGTTGAAGAAGACTGAAGATTTTAAATTTTTAAACACTTATTATAAACTGAATATCTACATTAAATCTGTCAGCAAATATAATTAAAATGACTTAAGTATATGGCAAGCAAATAGATCAGATAATAAGTAGATATGTACATAGTTTGTTTCTATCTTATCTTATCAATGTTTTTAAAATTTTGTCGCGAAAGATTTGCATAAGAAAGTTTGATAGCATAAATTAAAAGTTTTGCCTGATCCTCATTCACTTTTATTTTTTTCAAACTCTTCAGCATTAAATATATGATGCCAAGATTAAGGTAATATAACTAACAAATTCTCCTTGAAATCTTATCAACTAAATAAATATTTTTTTTCTAACAAGTGCTAATACAAATTAAAACACGAAAAAAAACTCACAAAACTCAAAAAATCACGAGTTGAAAATTAAATGTAATAATTCCTCGAAATTCTTATCTTAAAATTCAAAAAGATCATAATAAGAGTGTGCCTGATAAAACACATAAGTGAAATTGATAATAATCTTATCATCATAATCAGGTCCGGGACGAATCCCTTATGTGATAGACTCCGCATGATTAAAGTATCAATTGCATTTCATAAACAGTGCAAGATTACTACAACTTCCCGCTATTCGATCACTTGATGTCTATCATGCAGATGACTGATCCAATCTGGCATAGGAAAAAATGGCCATTACAAAATGTAATAAATTAATTACGTAAAAGAAGCTTTAGGTTTCCATACAGAGCTTTTAGTTTTAGTGAATTATGCTTAGTTATGCGTGAACTTGCACAGTTATGATGAATGTGCTTATTAATTCGATTGAAAATTGCGTAGAAGAAGCAAATTCGATGATCATTGATCACATTTACTTAAATGTTTTGTCCAAGTTCGAAAATTCACTCTGATTTCAAGTTAAAAACCAACATAAATTTACTTTAAACTCCCAAGTGATAATTATTGTTGCTCAGATATCTTTATTTATCCGAATATTTTAGTAATAGCGTATAAGCGAATAGTCATATATGTATGGTTTTATCAAAAACACCTTCTTTTGATTAAAGAACTTTTAAGAAAAGTTTATGTATGGTTCACGGAAAAGTTGAGCCTCTGACTGCAATAATCCTGGTTTATAATTTTCACATTTAGGAAAATTTTCTGGGATCGGCAACATTTGATTTGTTTCACCGACTTGGACTACGAGAAGCATTCCCGTTGCCATGTGCCACTCTGTATTAATAAAATAGAAATTAATTTATAAAATAAGTAAAATGGAAAACTATANTGTAATATTCTTGATAAAACACATAAATTAAACTGTTATCTAAGTGCCTCCGAATATCTAAGCAACTGGCAGACCGAACTCCTAGACTGGCAGTAATTTCCAGGAGAGTCCTGGATTGGCAGCCTATGTTAGTTTGGAAATTTCCCATAAACGCCCATTACATAATTTAATATCAATTACGTAATGGAAGCTATAAGTCTCCAGTTTGAAGCTTGCAAAACTTTTAAAGCGGATTCACTAGAGCTTCTAGTTTTAGTTAATAATGATCAGTTGTGAGGCATACCCGCCTTTAGAAAATTACTTCACCATTGTTTGAAAACGAGAAGTTGTAGAAATTTGTATCTAAGTATGTAAAAGTTTCATTTCCAACATTTTTAAACCATAAATCTTCTGAAAATCATAAGCGGAGATTAAATATTTCAATATTCTTTATAAAATTCGAGTGGTTATGTCATGTCATCGCAAATCATCATGACGGTGAAAAGATCGATAAATAACATCATATAAGTAACGACCCAAAAACATCAACTTGTGACATTGAAACTTAATTAGCAAAAATGACTTAATTGAAGGCATCTGAATAAAGTTAAGGCGACTAAATTAAGCTTCATTAAATAATTTCTATATCATTAAAAACAAATTAAACCTATCAATCTTCAAAATTTAATTATCTGCCGACTTTAACGTCGACGTCAACACAACTGTGAGATTAAAATTGGCTAGGATGGTTTGCAAAACTTCGTCTATTTGAAGCAGATGCATAGAATGTTTCTCGCCTTTTCCCTACTGTCACAACGTGACAAACTAATTTTCAAATGATTCAAAAGTTTTTCCTTCCTTGTTATTTTCAACAAAGATATTTTCAAAAGAAAATCTGTCGGTACTAAAGTAGATATTTGACTTTGGAATCAATCGGAAATATTAAACTTTGCAAAGCATCTCAAGTTTCCATCCAATTTATTTTTAAAAGCGCAAACTTTACAGATAACAACTTCATTAACAAGAGCTTTTCTTCATTTTGTTGCTATCGTGGGATAAATTATAGCACAAATAATCATAAATATAAATCATTTCTTTTTCTTGCTTATTAATTCACATCTAAATTGACTTGTGCATTAATCTTGCGCTCAACAGCTGAGAAACGAAACGAGAATCACAACGCAATCCACTTTTAATCAAAAGTTCTTTCCCTTTCGCATCTTAAATATGTTATGGAGATTTAATCTAAGGCTTAACATAAAGAAGATGGAAATCAGTTTGAAAATGTTATTAGTTTCTTTCACAATCGCGTATTGTAACACCACGTGAAACACCGACGCGAAGAAAGCGAAATAGGATTTTTCTTCCTCACATTTTGATGAATCTTTGGCAATTTATTTTTTCTTTCTTCATTTTTCTCTTCTCCAACTCCTCTTGTAACATTGTAAATGGACGGTAATGATGTTTCGTTTCGGAACTTTCTCGGTTCTGTTTTCATGATTGGAGAGGATTTTTGAGAGCTCAGCACAATTTATTTCTAAACGCACCGACCAGACTGGGAAGTACTCGAGAGCTTTCAGCAAAAACAAAACGAGGGGCTTTGTTGAAAAAGTAATTGCATTATCAGCAACAAAAGGCAAAAAGAAATATTCATCTGCCAACGCGTTTTTATGAGTAGAACGAATTTCCTTATTTCTAAGCGCAAACTAAATGTTCGTTTTATCATCTGAAAAGGAAGGGAAAGTGTAGGATGAGAAGACTAGCTAGAAAGACAAGAAAATTAAAATTAGCAGTGAATTCATAAAAAGTTGTGATTTTGAAGCAATTTGAAAACACTCTAAAAAAATAGCTGACCAAGGATAAGATTGTTGATGTTCATCTTACAACTATGAAATCCAATTTTCGACGACGGAAAAGATTCAACGACATTAAGGGAATTGAAATTTTAATCGTTGTAGTCAATCATTATCTTGAATCTGTGTGTAGGCATAGCAGAGTTGGAAAGGCTGAATCATTTATAACTTTCTTGTTGGATTAAAAACTGAATCAACTCTAATTGATAGAAAATTCAAATAGAGACATGAAGGAACCATGAAATCAAATCTCATGAAAATGTAAGTAATTTTTTTTTTGTCAAAATCAAACCTCAACAATGAATTTTGCTGATATTTGAGATATCATTTGTATTCGCATTCTCGTTTTTCCCACACAAAATGAGAAAAGAAGACTTCATGTGCTTAATCTAGGGCCATTCAGAGATTGTGTCATTATGATGATATATCGTACACGTTGTTTGTCACTTGTTTTTTCTCTAAGACTCCTCTACACATCCAATCCGACCCCGACTATCTTCAATGTATAAAGCACACTTTTTCATTCAACATCATCCTCCAAAATCATTTAATGTCAAGTTTTTTCTCCCCATTCTTTCATTTTCTACTTCCATCTCAATTCGAATTAAATTGAAGAGATTGCTCATTCAATAATCTCTTTTATCTGTTCCCAATGAGCTTTTCACATCAAATAGAAGGAAAAAAAGAATGAGAAAGAAATAATAAATATGCTACGAATGAAATATTACAGATACAGGAAATATTTCATGGATAAGAGGAAGAAGACGAAGACGAAGGGAAAATCTTGAATAAAAGAAGGAAAAAATATGAGTTGTGTGTCATAGAAAACAAAACAAATGATTGCAATGATAAAAGTTTTTTAAGAAATGAAATGCTTGAATATTAAATGTCTTAGTGAGCTGTAAATGGTGTTGAGAAGAAAACTTCCAAATATTTTCCAGGTAAATTCTTTCGAACTTCCACACTCTCTGATGTTATCAGACATCTGACAATAATTAAAGTGTCTACACAATCGTGGACCATTTTATTCCAAAAAAGTTCCACGCGATATCAACATAATGGAAATTCGAAACTTGCGCACAGATTTCCAATTCATTGGAAGGAAAAGTTCTTTTTTGTAATGATTTTCAGGGAGCGAGGAAAGGTTTTTCGTTTCAGTCGTGATTACTTCATGCTTCCCGCATGTACGGATTTGAAAACGAACCGCATTTGTTATATTTTCTTAGTGTTACTGACCCTGTCACTAAAAACTGAAATAAAAAGAAATTCACTAAAATTATTGTAGCAAGAAAAAGTTAATTCGCATTAAAGGGGAAAAGCTTCTTCGCTTTATTCCGCTTCAAAGGAACAGAAATTCCAACCATGAGAAAGGAGTAAAGTTCTGTTTTTCTCACAAAAAAAGGAAAGAAAAATAATCGCTGACGGCCTGAAAAGAAAGTGAAGACTAAGAAGACGAAAATAAATATAAGCAAGAAAAAGTTTCCGAGTAAAATGAAAAGAAAAAAATAGAAGAGTTAAAAGAGTTTTTTGTTTTGTTATAATAATAAGTAAAGAAGCATCAGGACAAGTCGTAATTAAAAACTTACTTTCATCAGTTGGAAAACACGTGATGAGAAGAAAATAAATCGGAAAACTTAGTTGTGAAGGACAAACATTCCATTGAAGTCAAAAGGGAAATTTACATCTTCCTATATAAGTAAATTCGCTTGACTCATAAAATATTCATTCAATACAGTGCTGTATTAGTGAAATATGTGTCCGTATGTCCCCATTACCAAAGATCTTATCGAGGCAGATAAATTTTGAATGTTCATGAGATTTTATTTTTGCTCTTTCTCCTCTCTTACCATCATGGATGGTGTGTAATAATTTCTTGTTAGAGTTGGAGAAAGACAACAACAACAAGCGAACCTATGTACGCACAAGTGTAATGGAAGCTCTTGACGAGGGTGTTGTTTCGCATCTTTCACAGCCTCACTTCAGCCATAAACATTAAACGAGTTAAAATTATGATTATGCCACAAAAATTTACGTGAAATGCTTCGAATAAATTCAGCACATTAAAGTTGAAAAGGGAAGAAAAAGTTTTTCTTCTGTCTAAGATAGAAAATAGAAGTTTTATGGCTTAAAAAGCTAAGAAGAGATAAGAAGAATCTTTTGTGTTCGAAAAAGAAGAAGACGGAAGAAAAATCAGTGGTAATTGAATGAGAAAATTGCTTTCTCTTTATTTGTCTTTATCTGATATCGTCTGAAATCTGATATCAAGATATCATAAATTTTAATTTCCTTTCTCTCTTCTGATGTTTTCTCGTCAAGTTGAAACTTGAAGTGTCGGAAGTAACTTTCAATAATCCAACAGTGCAATAGCCAATTAAAGAAGTGAATGAAAGTGGAAGTTACGAGACGACAACAGAAACTTTTCTTGGATTATCTTTAACAACTAGGTATATAAAATAATAAAGAAAACTAAACAGAAAAAAAGAACTACAATTAATGAATCTCAGAACGCTTTCTTAATTAAATTAAATGAAATTCAATGAGAAAAAGAAGTTAGACAGACAAAGTGAGCATAAAATAACACAAAACAAAGCACAACTCACTCTACATGCTTTTTTTTTGTATGCTGCTTACGGATATTGAAGGAAAATTGAATAAGATAAGATTTTTCATGCTTCGTATCTGTTGTGCGTTATAAAAAGAGGAAGTTCTTCCTCCAACAACAAAAAAAGAAGAAAGAAATTGTTACTGTGAATGTGTGTAAACTTGTGAAAAAAAAGAACATAAAGGATCAACGTGATGAGATTGCTTCCTTAACTACGTAGACAATTTGATACATATTCAAGAAAAGAAATTATACATACACGAGTACACTCACACACACACACGCTCGAAAAAGATTTTTTATGTTCAATTATTATGTGCAAAAATGCTGCATGTATGAAAAATATCATCATTAAGTGGAAATTGTCAACATACTCTGCCATTATCAGGATTTTATCTTTCGGAAAAATTTAAGTGTCTCGATTACCCGTGAGCTGTGGCATTGCAAGTAAGGATCAATGATATAGAAATTGAAAATATCTCTATTATGTGTTTTTATGTTGTCTTGTGGGGGTGTTAAGTGCTTTGTTGTTAAACCGACTGTTGAATGCTTTCGATGTAGTCATCATTTCTCTATTTTAAACCGCGCCAACATTAAATGCCACATCGGCATCTCTTAAACTTTACATAGCTCATTTAGAAAGATGTTGCTTTCATGGTCCATATATCATTTAAATTACCATCTATTTAGATAAAATTCGGGACTGTTAATGAACGGAATCTCAGCAGTAAACAAGTTACGATTAAATTTCTAATTTGTCAAAAAGAGAAAGCAAAGATTAATGATTCTCAATTTCGTAAAGTTTCGCCTCTGGTGGCCTAAAATCGAAGGCAGGGTATTTATGGGTACGATATAGTTAAGAAAATAAAAAGACAATGTCTGTGATAGATTTTCCGTAATTACCTTTTCGATTTTCCATCAATTCGACAACGAGGAAATCCATTTTACCATCGTCTTTCGATTCTTCCCTCTCGTATTACGATGGTGCAAAAGTATCTAAACAATTTCCTTTATATCATTGAGGCTCATGATTTAAGAAATAAATCAGAGAAGTTGATTTCGTCTTTCTTCTTCTTCTTCTTCTTCTTTTCCATCAGCAATGTGTGGGTGGTTGAATAAGCAAGAAAATGGCAAAAAACTCAACAGAACTGAAAAAAGAAAGTTTTTAAAGTTAAAGGCTGATGATGATGATGATCATAATAAAAAGAAGAAATCTTTCTTGACACCAACAATTTAAATTAAATAGATTTAATTGAAAATCATTTTTTATAATTGCTGCCAATATATATTTAAACTTTAGAAGAAGAAAATGAAAGAAGTTGAACGTCAAACTGCCAAACGTTTACTTCAACTTGGAATTTTTCCGCTTTTTCCATGTCAGACTTTTCTTTTTTACGTTCACTTCATTTCACGAGTTTCACCTCGATAGAAAAATCTTTTATAAAAGAAACTTTTTCCTGAAATTTGTTTTTTCGGGAGCACATAAAAAGAGTTCATAAAAAGTTTAGACGAAAAATCATACGAGCGAGCCTGAAGTGAACAAGTTGATGTAAAAGTTACTTGTGCGATGAAAACCTTGCTAAATATTTTTTAGTTAATCTCAAAGTTCTAATGCTATCATTATTTCCTGGAGTTTCATTTTGATACGATAAAAATAAAAATTTCCTTTGAGCACAGGAAGAAAAGAAAATCTGATGTCTCTTGTCAGTTTGTTAAGGAGCAAAGTTTGTCGTTTTATTTATTAAGATCGTTCATTTGAAGCATAAAAATTGAGACATAAAAATTGATGGCATGATATCGATTTTCCGATTTGAGCTAGAAATATTTTCCTTAAGCAGGAAAAATATTTTCCTTCTTCTCTTAGGGTTTATTTATATTTTCTTTTTGCCTCCTTTCTCTGAAATATGTACATGAAACCTTTAGGTATACTTAATTCATTGAAGAAAATGTTCAAGAAACTTTATGAGAGCTACAATAGAAAATTTGATCTTCCAGGAAATAAAATAAAGTATTTGAAATAATTACCATAAATATTTGAGTTGGCAATCATTCGAAGGTTAATATAGAAGCGTATTGTCTCTTATCTCAAAGTTGTAAAACTTTTCAAAAATAAAATTATTTTGATAAGAGTTGTCACAACGACAAGGCTTTGAAAATATTAAATTTCTTTAACTCTTGGGCCATAAAATTTATTTGTCTGAAAATGTCTCTTAAACATTTCTCGCTAAAAGTTACTACGAAATCCGAAAGCTCTTTCTAAAGCTCATAAATACTCGTAATCAAGACTGGAAATTCTTTAGCTCTTAAAAACATGTAAGTCACTAATACCTTCTAGCTAAAAGCGATATAAAAGTCTTAAGCCTCCAGCCTCTCTTCACGACGGAAAAAAAAAATAGAAAAAGGAAAATTCTTCATAAAATATTTCAGCTTTAAGACTCGTTTTAATATAAATAAATATTTCTTCATAACATTTAACAAGACGTCTTTATGACAGGATCATCAAGAAGCTTCCTTTAAAACTTGTCTTCTTTCTCTTTCAATTTATAGCATCAAAATGGTTCATCGTAATCTGAGGTTTCAAGTTTCATCAAAAGTTTATTTTTTTATTTATTTTCACTTCTGTTATTGATCTTTTTGCCCGCAAATCAATTCAGTAAGGCAAAAACGTAAAATTGATTTTCGCTTTTTATGCCACTTTTATAGCTTAAAGCTTTCTTAGGCTCCACTTCTTCTCGCGAAGATTTCGATGGAATGATTAGATAATAGTAAAGCTTTTTCCCATCACTTTATTGATTATTTTGCCAACTTCTCTATAAAAGACATTGTCATGAAACAATCTCTTTTCCCCAAATCCGCCTTCACTCTGTCACCAAAAGATTTTCGCTTTCATTTCTTTGTGACTTTCCAGCTGTGATGGCGTCTTTCACTGAAATATTTTTTTACGATAATGTTCGTGTTGTTTCATGAAAACTAAATGAGATTTCTCTTGTTGTACTGTACTTTAAACCGACTTTTCTTTTCATTATACTCATTCGTCTTACGATAAATGCTGTCAACTGCCGAATTATTATCCCAGAATTGCTTTCAACTTAAATCAGAGCAGTTTTCATGAAAGCCTCGAATCTGTGAATTTATTTAATGAACCTTAAGGAGCGGGAAATCTTGCCTATAATCCCTAAACGTAAGGAAAAAGCATTAAAGTTGGAACTGTAAAAATTCAACATCCATGGTAACGTTGTAATTAATTTTGAATTAAATTCTCCCCCAACAGGCATCTGCAACTTTTTTATATTGCCGCGTATTCATCAAAAGAAAGAAATTTCAAAATTGCTTTTCACCAAAGCGAAAACATCATAAAGCATATTGCCGTTTGTTGTAATCTTGCTAAGAGCTTTTTATTAGAATCATCAAAATCTTAGCATTCACTTTTGTTGTGATGGCAGTTTCATATTTTAAAGTTTTTCCTCACAGTTATTAAAAAGGCAGAAGGAAATTTATTTCGTTTTCAACATTATCCACTTCTTTGTCTTTGATCAATTTGTCTTTTTAAATTGTTCGAGAAAGAATTTGACCTCATGAAACTTTTTATTTCTATGGAAAATAAATTACACAGTGGAATCTCGAAGAGGGACGAAATGAAACATCACAGAATACAAAAATGAAGCCCAATTATGCTGCATTTAGCTTAATCGTTAATTGCGAAAATATTTTAATCTTCATCCATCCTTTGAAGATGAATTTAAAACATTCGTAATTATAAGACACTGAACCGAGTTGTACGAAAATGCTTTCTGTAAAGTTGTCGTAAAAAAAGTCTTTAGTTTTCTAAATTTATTTACTCACTCCTTTTCATTAAGACAGAAATTCATTAAATGATCTGTCTGAGTACGAAATGAATAGGTGAGAGTTCGTCTTGTTAGCTTTTATGAGTCACAGACAGTTTCATGATATTTCGTCTTTAGAGTCAATTGCACTTAAGCATTTCTCTTCTTTATGTACTCAGCTTTTCAACGAAAAGTTCTTGGTATAATTCTGTTGTAAAATCGAGAAAGGATGAAGAATAAAAATGCTTTTTATTTATTCATGAATCATGAGGCAAGAAAATAAAACATCAGTGTTTTGTTGATTAATCTGTTTGAGTGCTTGCACCCCCATTTACGTCACGCCACAACGCCCGTTGTAACAATTGAGAAAAATAAAGCGATTTGAAAATGTTCTTTAAAAGGAAAGTTGAAAACTTTTCTGTTTTTAAATTTTCCTAGAAATATTTGTGAATGAAAGTAGTTTTGAACAATTATTTCTGATTTGTCGTTTTCTTTTAATTTAAAAGACATTTATGTAGTGATTTTTTACTTATAAATTATTAAAAATGGATTTTTTACAAATATAAATTCTATTTCTATAGACATACATTAGGAACATTACACATACTTGCAACAACATAATAAATTATTATCAAGTATATTTTTCAAACGTGACTTCTTATCAGTTGAGTGGTGGAAAGCAACTCACGATATTGTTGAAGAAAAGAAGTTCGAGAGAATTATTGCAATAACTGAAATTTATTGCGAATGAGTCCTTCGTTAATTAATTGACAAATGTTCGAGATCTTGAACAAAGAGGGAGAATTTACTTTGATTTGACTGTAGGGAATACATATCAACATGTATACACACATAGGAACTTTATGGTTGATTCAAATTTCAAACATTCATAAAAGAGACCTTTCAAGAAATCCTCAAATATTTCCTTCAAATACTCAATAATTCTCGAATGGGAAATTTTCATTCTCTTTCATATCATAAAGCTTAAGAATTTCTCATAAAGAAACTTTTATGAAGACAAATTAATATCAAAAGATTTCACTGAAACAAAATGGACGTTTTCTTCATTTGATGAATTTTGTTGACGTTTTCTTTAATTATTTTCAAACATTTATTTCTTTTAAACGTTTTAACTCATGAAGATTCTTCAAAACATGATAAATTTTTATTTTTTATTTTTTATTTGCTTGAGTTATTGAAAAGCTTCGCTTTTGATGTGTATTGAAGCATAAAAAATAAGTTGAGCAGCTCAATTTTTTTAAGATGTGACATAAAACAATTTATCATTTTAAAAATCTTTAAGTGATAAACAAATAATTCATAGTTCAATATATCCACTGCAGCAGTTGAAAAGCTTGGAAATTATTCAACATTTCATTCATGCTTCAACTTTCGTTGACTTTTGCATAAACAAATTAAATTTCTACAAGATTCCTGAGAATAAATTTCTCGACTTTTACATTCGCTGTCAGACATAGAAACAGAAAATTCAAACAAACATCTAAAATTAATTTTAAAGTATAAATAAACTATTCAAACAAAACATAAATTTTACCATGTTTTTACCATGCTTCAAATTAATCTTACCTTCTATTAACAGTTTCTTTACTTCCTTAAGGGCGTTTACATAGAAATCAAAATAGATTTTCTCTCGTATCTTGATATTCAGTTATTGTTTCTTCTTTCTCTGTTCTATTTCATCATCCTGAAGCGTTTCATGTTTCCAACCTTTCAATTTCATCTTCTTAACTAAGAAATAAAAAAATTGTTTTTCTCTTAACTATTACAAAACATTGAACAAGTTTTCATAGCGTGCATGAAATGTTTCTGGAAAACTGAAGATGCAATGTAAACAACTCAGTTTTTGTCATAAAAAAGATTAAATATTTTTTTTATTGCTTCATCTTTCATACCTGTTTTAAAAAAGCAATTATACCATAAAGACTTTCATAAACAAACGAGTTTCCGATAGACATATTTCGAGACTTGGAACGTGCTTCAAACACATCCCATAAAGATGACATTGTCTTGAAAAACCTCTATATCCAAACAACAGCATCATTTAAATTCAGTTAAGGCTAAGTCTCCATATCGATTTTCCAATTTAGAAGCTTCCTTATATTCGCCATAATGTAAGCATTCTATCCTAATGTCGTCGTAGCAAAATAATGGTTCTTGTTTCTCTTATTAACATTTTATTGTGTATGTTTCGATGTTAATGTTATGTAAATAAACAACAAATTTATATCAATGGGTGGCATGTATAATTTGCATAAAAGATACAAATAATATGAAACACCAATTATGCTTATCACAAAACAAATATCCAACGAGCCAAGGTTGTTCTAAACTACTAAAATAAAATATGCCAGTAATTTTTGGTTCTATTTTGCTTTTACTTTCAAATATTGATTTTCACAACCATTTCCTAACCACAAATAATAATTTAATCTGTTAATTGAAATATGATTAATTTCTTTAGAAAAGCTTTGAAAATTTGATGCTTTTATTAGTAAATTTATCAATGGTTTCATTGGTCACAACTTACGTATTTGCAGTTCTCCAATATTAAATTTAAACAATATTTGGTTTCAATGAAATTCATACAATAAAAGTTGCTCTGTGGTCTACCCGCAATATCCGTAATTGAATAAGCTCACAAATTTTTGGTATCAATTAATTTCCTAAAATTCTATTTGATCAGGAAGTTTTTTTGTGAAGAACTTTGGGGTTTCATTATAGCAAATATATTATAAAATCGTGGAGTGAACTTTGTATTCATATAGATAAAAGATAATTTCATTGAATTTCCTTAATGAGCTTAATGATCTACTACCGTAGCTGGATTTCGTGCGTCTGACTAAATACGGAAATATGTAGAAAACTTTACATAAAATATTTGAAACAAACACTCAAAGTTAATGATATTGTGACTTTATTAATTTAACAAGTCATTTTCATAGCATAAACGCTTAGTAACAAATCCTGAGGTTACATTATTAGACACCCTTACGATTGTGTCCCACACACATTTTCCTGCTGCTTTCTTTCAAATATATATAATTATTATATACATTA